TAAAAACAAAACCGAACTTGTAATTTGACGCTATAAACAAAATCAAACTCTGAACTCTCCCCAACAGTACGGCCTTTCCAAAGCCACCACCATCTACCTCTCGCTTTCTCCGTCTCCTTCTCTCTCTTCCCAACTTCCCTTCTGTTATAAACGCGCTGCTACAGATCGGGAAATCACCGGGATCGACAAAGCAAGAATACGAGAGCGAGAATCGAAAACACGACACACGATTTACGTGGTTCACTAACACGATGTGTGTTAGCTACGTCCACGGGCGAGAGAGAGCCAGTTTCACTATATCTGAGGAGATTACAGATTACAGAGGAGTATGAGAAGTATTTATAGTACTTCTCCATGTGGGTCTAAACCTAATCCAATCTAGCAAAGGAAACGGTTACAGACCAGGCCCAGAACCCGAACCCAAATAACAGCGAGACCCCCGATTACCAGTCGTAGCGGCTGATAGTCCGATTCAAGTCATATCAACAAATCTCCACCTTGACTTGAATCCTCTTCCTCTGAAATCTCTGATGTACTCTGCTCCTTCTCTCTCTCTCGCCATCAATGCCCCGTAGGGCGGAGTCACCCACTCAAGACATTCAGCAAGTCCAAGCAGTGTTGGAACTTGCCATGTGGAACCGGCTTCGTGAACATATCAGCAGGATTATCCGCGGTGCCAACCTTCTTCACCTTAATCCTCTTCTCTGTCCTCAAGAAATGATACCTCACATCGATGTGCTTAGTCCTCTCATGGTGGACTTGATCCTTGGCCAAGCATATTGCACTCAAACTGTCGCAATACACCACTGCCTGATCATGATGTAGACCAAGATCACCAACCAGTCCCTTCAACCATATTCCCTCCTTAGCAGCTTCTGTCAACGCCATATACTCTGCCTCAGTAGTAGACAATATCACCGCCGACTGCAAAGTTGCCTTCCAGCTCACTACAGAACTCCCAAGAGTGAATACATAACCGGTCATCGATCTCCTCGTGTCAACATCTCCAGCATAGTCCGAGTCAGAATACCCAGACACCAAGCACTCTGTATCACTTCCGAAGCTAATCCCCACATCAGGTGTACCCTTAAGGTACCGGAAGATCCTCTTCACAGCCTGCCAATGCTCCTTCCCAGGTTGTATCATAAACCTGCTGACAACACTAACAGCATGTGCAAGATCAGGTCTAGTGCATACCATAGCGTACATCAAGCTACCTACTGCACTAGCATATGGGACTCTCGACATGTACTCCTTCTCAGCCTCTGACTGCGGTGCATAAGCCGAGGATAGATGAACATTTGAAGCACTAGGAGTATTTAGGGGCTTTGCTGAAGACATGCCAAACCTCGACAGTATCTTCTGGATGTAGCTCTTCTGTGACAAGAAAAGCTTCTTCTTCGACCTGTCCCTGTAAATCTCCATACCCAAGATCTTCTGAGCAGCTCCCAAATCCTTCATCTCAAACTCAGCACTGAGAAGCCCCTTTAACTTCTGGATATCAGACTTTGACCTCGCAGCTATGAGCATATCATCCACATACAGAACTAGATATATCATCGAACCATCCTCTGCCTTGCTGTGATATACACAACAATCATATGGACTTCTGTTGTAGCCCAGCTCAAGCATGTAGCTGTCAAATCTCTTGTACCACTGCCTCGGAGATTGCTTAAGTCCATACAAGGACTTCTTCAGCTTACAAACATAGTCTTCTTTTCCCGGAACCTCGAATCCTTCTGGCTGAGTCATGTAAATTTCTTCCTCCAACTCTCCATGTAGGAAAGCTGTCTTCACGTCTAGCTGCTCGAGCTCCAAGTCATAATGTGCCACTATTGCTAGTAGCACTCTGATCGAAGTATGTCTGACCACTGGTGAGAAAATCTCATTGTAGTCAACTCCTTCCCTCTGCGAGAAGCCTCGTGCAACCACCCGAGCTTTAAATTTCATGCCCTCTTTAGAAGTGATTCCTTCCTTCTTCTTGTAGATCCACTTGTTTGTAACAATCTTCCTTCCCTGTGGTCGTTTGACTAGCTCCCAAGTCTGATTCCTGTCATGGGATTCCATCTCATCTCCCATTGCGGCAAGCCACTTATCAGCTTCACCACCCGAAACTGCTTCTCTATAGGACTGTGGCTCTCCTGCATCCACTTCCTCAGCAACCTGAAATGAATACGCCACCATGTCCTCGAAGCCATACCTCTGTGGAGGTACTCCTGCAGTCGCTCTCTTTGGTCTACCGGAAGTAATAGACTGTTGAGCTCGTGCACTGGACTCTGAAGTTTCTGGCTCTGCAGAGACATCCTCATCATGTTGATCTTCTCCACCTTGGTGCTCAAACTCACTCTCATTGAGAGTTTGCAGCTCCACCTGTTTATCAACATTCCTGCTACCTTCAACAACCGTAACCTTCAACATGGGGTTAAACATAGACTTCTCATCAAATATCACATTTCTACTAAGTATAACTCGATGCTCAGAAGGTGACCAGACTCGAAATCCCTTAACTCCATCTCCGTAACCCACAAATACACCCTTCTTTGCCCTTGGGTTCAGTTTACCCTCATCCACATGATAATAAACAGGACACCCAAAAACTTTCAGTGAAGAGTAATCAGCAGGCTTACCATACCACACTTCATAAGGAGTCTTACACTCGATACCTGTGTGTGGTCCACGGTTGATCAGGAAGCACGCCATGTTCACTGCTTCTGCCCAGAATCTTCTCTCTAGTCCAGCATTAGAGAGCATGCACCGTGCTCTCTCCAACAATGTCTGGTTCATTCTTTCTGCAACGCCATTCTGCTGAGGTGTATCTCTAACAGTCCGATGACGGGCAATCCCTTCATCCTTGCAGAATTCGTTGAACTCAGAACTGCAGAACTCCAGACCATTGTCCGTTCGCAGCTTCTTGATCTTCTTCCCGGTCTGATTCTCCACCAATGTCTTCCACTGCTTGAACTTCGTGAAAGCCTCACTTTTCTGCTTCATCATGAAAATCCAAGTAAATCTCGAATAATCATCAATAATAGACAGAAAATACCTGCTGCCTCCAATGGATTCAACTCGTGAAGGACCCCAACAGTCGGAGTGGAGGTAATCTAGTATCCCCTTCGTCCGGTGGATACCCTTCTTGGGAAACTTGCTGCGATGTAGCTTCCCAAACACACAATGCTCACAGAATTCCAAATTCTGCACCTTGTGCCCGCAAAGAAGATCCCTCTTCGATAGAACTTGCATCCCCCGTTCACTCATATGCCCCAGTCTCATGTGCCAGAGAGTGGTCATATCTTCCTGTTGAACCTGAGACGATGCAACTGCAGCAGAGCCAGACAACACAGACCCTTGTAATGCATACAAGGTCCCACGCTTCACGCCCTTCAGTACCTTCCTCGAACCCTTGCAGACATACACAACTCCACCTTTTCCTTTGAAGCTGAAGCCCTTGCTGTCGAGTAGACTCAAGGAGATCAGGTTCTTCGTCATTCGTGGAACATGTCTGACATCATTCACGGTACAGAACGAACCATCATGTGTCCGAACCTTTATGGACCCGATTCCAACAACCTTGCAGACAGCTCCATTAGCCATGACCACATTACCACCATCTATCTGCTCGTAGGTTGTGAAGCAATCCCTGTTCGGAGACATATGATATGAGGCTGCAGTATCCAGAAACCACACATCACCACGATGTGCCTTCTCATCTACAGCCAAGGCGAGATCGTCTTCAGAACTGTTGTCCACTTCTGCCACGGCAACTGAACCTTGTTTCTTCTGTTGCCCTCTTCTCTTGGGACAGTTGTACTTCCAATGCCCCACTTCCTTACAGTTGTGACAAGCATCACCTGGCTGTGGACCGGGACCCTTGGAATTCTTGCTCGAATTCCCTTTACCAGATTTCTTCTTTCCCTTTCCACCTGTAACAGCCAAACCCGATGCCTCACCACCTGTACCAGATCCGGACGCCTTATGTCTGTTCTCTCTCGTATGAAGAGCAGACCTGACATCCTCCAACGACACGCTTTCTTTACCGGCAATAAAAGAATCAACGAAATTCTCATATGAACTCGGCAAAGAAACCAGCAGGATTAGGGCAGCATCGTCGTCATCAACTTGAACATCTATATTACGCAGATCCAGCAAACTAGAGTTAAGTTGTTCGAGATGTTCCCTCAAAGGCGTACCTTCTTGCATCCTCAAGCTGAACAACCGTTGCTTGAGATGCAGCTTGTTGGTTAGAGACTTAGTCATGTACAGACTCTCTAGTTTCAACCACAAGCCCGCGGCAGTCTTCTCAGCAGCGACTTCAATGATGACGTCATCAGACAACGATAGCATGATGGTCGAGTGGGCCTTCTCCTCCAGGGTATTCCACTCATCGTCATCGACCGCTGCCTTCTTCTGTTTCGCAGACAGCGGCCCCCACAGCCCTTGCTGTTTTAATAAAGCCTGCATCTTGATCTGCCATATAGCGAAGCTGTTCTTCCCCGTGAACTTTTCGATCTTCATGTTCACCGACGTCATTCTTCTGAATCGAAAACCCTAGCCTGATTTCCAGCCGCGGCTCTGATACCACTTGTTATAAACGCGCTGCTACGGATCGGGAAATCACCGGGATCGACAAAGCAAGAATACGAGAGCGAGAATCGAAAACACGACACACGATTTACGTGGTTCACTAACACGATGTGTGTTAGCTACGTCCACGGGCGAGAGAGAGCCAGTTTCACTATATCTGAGGAGATTACAGATTACAGAGGAGTATGAGAAGTATTTATAGTACTTCTCCATGTGGGTCTAAACCTAATCCAATCTAGCAAAGGAAACGGTTACAGACCAGGCCCAGAACCCGAACCCAAATAACATTGAGCCCATACACCGTGGGCCGGGGGCGTTGCCCCCGCACCCCCACCGGGGCGTTGCCCCTGGACCCCACTCGCTGACCGGTCAGCGAGACCCCCGATTACCAGTCATAGCGGCTGATAGTCCGATTCAAATCATATCAACACCTTCTGCAGCTCTCCTCTGCCCTCTCCTGTTCTGTTCAGTCATCAGTGCAAGTCCAACTAGCATTCTCCACTGGAAAGCCGGCGGGCGGAGTCAACCAACAACTAAACGGCGCGGAGACTCGCCGTGATCTCCGTGTCTCATGGGGTCTCTCTCCCTTGCTTCCATTACTGACCCCAGGACCATCTCTCCGTCTTCCTATTCTTCTCCTTCTCTTCAGATTCCTCGACATCTTGCCCATTCAAATGGCTTCTTTCCGTTCTCAAGCACCGGGTTTCTCGGCAGAATCACGAGCACGGGTCCGGTTCGCGCCGAAATGGTGAAACAGACTGCATCGGCAATCGATTTCAGTGATCCGGAGTGGAAGATCAACTACCAGAAGGATTTCGAGCGCCGTTTTAATATTCCACGCATAACTGATGTATTCCCCGACGCCCGGCCGATTCCTTCCACGTTTTGTCTTCGGATGAGGTACTCGGTCGTCGCTCCTATTTTCTCCGGCTCATTTGAATTCTTCTGGACGAACTGTAAACTTGGCAGAATGATTTCGTTTTCGTCAATTGTGTGGGATTTGAAACACTCGTTTTTTTCCCCCGGTTGTTTTCGAGTAATATATATATATTCGGTTTCGCTAAGCATCTCCTTGAATTGCCTATTCTATTGCTGAACAGCTCCAGTCATATCCCTTCAGAGTTGGTTCACTTTGTTTTGGACCACATTTTACAGGACTCCGGTGTCTGAGGAATTTGCCGGCGGTTATCCCTCTGATGAGGAATGGCATGGATACATCAGTAATAGCGACAGGGTCCTTCTCAAGGTACTTAAACCCCTGATCGCCTCTTAGTGAACTCTCTATAACTACATGTTGGGTCGCTGGATTATCATTTCTTATAATTGCCTAGATATGGATTTAAGCAGATGACAGTTCTTCCATTACATTTGGAGTTTTCTGGTAACTGTAGGTCCTGTCATAACTATTGAAGGGCAAGGGAGTGATGGTATTAGGGGTATTCTCATATAGATGTGTGTAGTTAATGTTGCGAACTAGACGAAGGAATGATTGCTAATGAACGCCCCTGCGGTTCAAACTGAATTGTTTCAGATGTTTACTTCTTCATTGAACATGTAAATCAACAAAAATGGCTAACCCAGAAGCCAAAGCTTCATTGAAAGACTGAAAGCATGCATGTCAGTTGGATGTTAAGGTTCCGCATGCTCAACTCCAAGAAGCAAAGTCTTGGTTCACCCTTTTCAAATTAATCACCTATTGGCAGCTTCTTGATGTTTATCTTTCTCCAATGTTTCAGACTATAAATTTCGCATCACCCAACTCAGCTGGAGCAGTGTGCATTGACCCTGCCTGTACCTGGGTTGAACAATGGTACTTATTCCATTAGTCGTCCTTTATTTTCATAGGCTCCTAAATGGAGAAAATATTGTTATAAGCTCCAGCTTAAGTTTTCATTAGGCTGCAACATTTTGTGGTCTCCATTCAATGTCTGCATATTTCCCCTTTCTTTTGCTAGTTTTTATCTAGTGACAATAATAACAAAACTTGTTAGGGTTCACTGTGCTGGACCTCGGGAGAAGATTTTATGGTCTCCATCAATGTCTGCATATTTCCCCTTTCTTTTGTTAGTTTTATCTAGTGACAATAATAACTTAAACTTGTTAGGGTTCACCGTGCTGGACCTCGGGAGAAGATTTACTTCAAACCTGAGGAAGTGAAGGCTGCTATTGTTACTTGTGGTGGATTATGTCCTGGCCTCAATGATGTCATCAGACAGGTCTGCACCACTTAAGATTTGTCTTCTCCATAGGAACTGACGAACTGTATAGATGCTTATTGTTGTGGTCTTAAAACTTCCACAAAAACAAAGGAGAGTTTGTCATCTCCTGCCTAAGAGTTATCACAAATGAGACATATGCTCGTTGTGCAAACCATCTAAAGCCTCATCATATATAAAAAAAAACTTTAGATTGGCTACTCGTATGGTTACTTTTGGCAGGTTGTCATTACACTTGAAATATATGGTGTTAAAAGTGTTGTGGTCTTAGAACTTCCACAAAAAACAAAAAAAGAGTTTGTCATCTTCTGCCTGAGTTTTATCACAAATGTGAATATGCTTGTTTTGCAAACTATCTAAGCATCATCATATATACAAACAGATTGGCTACTCATATGGTTACTTTTGGCAGGTTGTCATTACACTTGAAATATATGGTGTTAAAAGTATTGTGGGGATTCCTTTTGGTTATCGTGGATTTTCTGACAGCGACCTTAGTGAAATGCCAGTAAGTTTCATATTTCTGTGGCAGTTTTGGTTGCTTTAGTCAGTACACAATGGAACTGGAGATGCCTCTCCTTCATTTTTTGTGAATGCTTAGTGCCCAATCTATTCCTTTGATTGTCAGCTATCAAGGAAAGTGGTTCAGAATATCCATCTTTCTGGTGGAAGTTTGTTAGGAGTTTCACGTGGAGGTCCCAGTGTCAGTGACATCGTTGATAGGATGCAGGTACTAAACTTTCCTTTTCGATTGGAAACTATTTTGTTATTGTCTCTTGATATGCATACTAATTTCAAAAGTTTAGCATGTTCTTATGATGCATTCTTTACCTTGATGCTATTAGGAAAAGGGAATCAACATGCTTTTTGTACTAGGTGGGAATGGTACACATGCTGGGGCCAACGCCATACACGAAGAGGTTGATAAGCTTATCTCTGATTTATTTCCTGTGCTACTTTGACTTTTTATCCGATTCAGAGACGTGTTGATTATATGGCTTACGAGTGAGTTCAGCCTAGTTTATCCTTTCTGAATTCTCTTCTAGAAGGTAACTCTTTGAGAAACTGTTATGACTTAATGCGAAACCCTGTGTCGAGCATAAAGGGTTGACCAATGGATATTTGGTCTGAGTTCCATGAGCAGACTGTTGTTTCCAGAATTGCCAGAAAATCTTCTTGATTTTGAGATGTAAACTACTGTTACTGAAGCTATCTGAAGTTGGTTCAGGTTTTCCTATGACAGGATATTAAGGCATACTTAAAATCAGAACATTAAAGTAATCTAAATACGTGTATAATACTAGAAGTGTTCATGTTAACGCTTTTATTTGATAATTCTAACCTTCCTCCCGGTAAAGCTCTAAACTACTATAATTTAATAATTTCTAAATTTTTGTTTCCAGTGCCGTAAAAGGAAGCTGAAGGTAGCCGTAGTTGGGGTGCCAAAGACCATAGATAATGACATTTTATTGATGGATAAAACTTTTGGATTTGATACTGCTGTAGAGGAAGCACAAAGAGCAATTAATTCTGCCTACATTGAGGTAATCAAACTCGATTTATTCATTTCTGCATTTCACTTTTATTTTGGGTTGAACTTTACTGCTCTTTTTTCCCCTATGGCCTCTGTCCAATATTTATACATATCATCTTGCATCGTTATTCCCTCCAGGCTCACAGTGCTTATCATGGAGTTGGAATTGTGAAATTAATGGGACGTGATAGTGGTTTTATAGCTATGCATGCATCCCTTGCTAGTGGACAGATTGATATTTGCTTGATACCAGAGGTATGTGCCTCTTGTTGCAAGTCTACAACCATATCTACCTTGTTTATGCATGAATATAATTGATATACGGTCTTGCAAAAAAGGTACCATTTGAATTACATGGACCTCATGGTGTCTTGACACATCTCAAATACTTGATTGAGACAAAGGGATCAGCTGTGGTCTGTGTGGCAGAGGGAGCCGGACAGGTGAGTGTTACTGCAACATTTCTGTGTGCTGTGTAGAAGGTTTTCAATGCCCTGAGCAGTCCTTTTGATGAGGTTCCAATGTCACTTACCTTGCCATTAAAACTATTGCTACTGCCTTTTCTAATCTGTCTAATAACTGGAGGACTGGTTACAGTTAGATGTAAAGAGATTGCTTAAATAGGTCTTGCATTCCACAGTTGATTTGCACACAATTCAGTTGGGAATGTGATGTTTGTGAGAATGGAGAGTGGGTTTAAGTGAGGATCTCTTATTTTCTTTGTTTTGACTACTCTTTGTGTTGCCTCTTTATCTAGAACTTGCTTCAGAAAACCAACGCTAAGGATGCCTCTGGAAACATTGTACTAGGTGACATTGGTGTACATATCCAACAAGAGGTCAGCTGTTGTTGGTTTTAGTCTTGCCTTCAGCTTGCACTGGCTTATTTGAAAAGAGACATTGTCCAAAGATAAAATGCTTGAAGAGTTGGTGTTAACTTACTTCCTTACTGCTCTTTCAGACGAAGAAGTATTTTAGGGAGATTGGCGTTCATGCCGATGTTAAGTATATAGATCCAACATACATGATTCGTGCATGTCGTGCAAATGCCTCAGACGGAATTCTATGCGCTGTTCTTGGACAAAATGCTGTAAGTTTTCCCTGATTCCCTTTCTCCTATGAAAGTATTTCAAATTATTAGCTTAGGGGAAAGAACTGGTATCATTTCCGTTAATATATGTAAAAAGACGAGACCAATTTATCTCAATAACTTTAGTTGTTATTGATAAAAAAAATGAAAGAGAATAACTAGTTGTTGTAGACATCGAACAGTGCATGTTATCTCATCTTGACCATGTTGGCATTTAATCTTGCTTGGTAGCCTAAAAATAGCTGCGATTAATGCTCATTGTCACTTCTACTTGATATCTTAGATGCGCGGTTCTTTGTGGCAGGTCCATGGCGCATTTGCAGGATACAGTGGGATCACAGTAGGCATATGCAACAACCATCTGATTTATGTGGGGTCCTGTACTTGAGATAGAATTTGGTCATCCCAAATATGAAATGAAACCAAACTTTGTCTGATTATCTTTCTGGGTAAATGAAGATCAATGACAGATAAATGAGATTACTAAAAAGTTTCATATTTGGTCACTAAAAATATTTAATTTCACTTGTGATTAGTTAAATGTTTTAATTTTGGACACTTTTCGTTTAATTTCGTTAACTTTTGCTTATGTGACAATTAACTTTTATAATTGACCGTTAAATGTATAACGTGGCAATTAAAAAATATTAAAATAAAATTTTTTTTAAAAATTTTCCACAACATATATCCAACTATTAAAAAATAAAAATAAACTTAAAGCTCCCTGTCGGGTTTCTCCATTCATCGCTGCCGGCGGATTTCTCCCACGAGTTCGCCGGCCTCTGGCTGTTGACCTAACACTTTTGCCGAACAACCATCCCGAGCTCTGGCATCTGCATCAGTTTTGAGTTTCGGTCTGTGGAAGTCGACGGGTTCGCTTTCAACCATTTCGTGAAATCGTGGGCTTCGATTCCAGGTCCGGAGGTTGGGACTGAGCTGGATCAAGAAATCGCTGACGTGCCACGATAGAGCGCTGATCGAGGAGATCAGAGAGCTCGAGGATTTGCTTATGGAAACCATAGGAAGTAATCTGTTGTATTGGGATGAGGATTCCTGCCGACATATGCTCACTGGCAAGGTCCGCGCGACGTTCTGGATTGACCCGTGAGCATATTTGCAAGATGAAAGCTTCTTTGGCCAGCCGCAATGGTAGCAAACAGTTGATAACGATGTAATTGCATGATTTTATACCCCTATTTCTTATCCATTTGCGGAGCATAGTTGTGTGTTTTGGCCTATTTTACGTCGGGTTGTGCTATTTTGTCCTATTTCAGGTCCCAGGCGTCGAAGAGAAGGCCAAGCTCGAGTTTCGGATCGTTTGAAAGTCGTTTGGTCGAGCCAGGGCCAAAACACGGGCAGGAGGCCCTCAGAACACGGCCGTGTTCCTAGCCGTGTTTTTACCGCCGAGACTTCCCACCATAGAGCTACACCAGCTAAAAAACACGGGCGGGGTCAACCAGAACACGACCGTGTTTTGCACAGAACACGCCCGTGTTTTCCCAAGGCACGTGGCCGTGTTTTTATGCCGAATCCAGAACACGGGCGGGCTGGACCAGAACACGCCCGTGCCCTCGACCGTGTTCTGGCCAGTGATGCCCTTTTAGGCAGTTTTCAGCCAAATTGAGGGGGGATTCGAGTTTTAGAGAGACAGAGCGATTCCTAGAGAGAGAAAGCGACGAACAAGAGTCTCCAAGTGCCCTAGCTTGATCTTCATCACCATTGGAGCTTGGCTTGAGCTTGGAAGAGTGCCGATCAACGTCCAGAAGTCGAATTCCATCCTTCACAGTATGGTTTCCGCATCTGATTCTGCTTTTGCTTCTTTCTCCATGGAGTAGTTCTCCCATTCATCTGGGTGTGGGAAACCCTAGATCTGTATGTTAGGATTGATTGTATGAACCCAAGTACTGTTTCTATGATTTGATTATATTCGATTGAGGTTTGAATGATTGAATGACATGAATCTTGATCAAATTCCTGTTGTTTCTGCTTTAACCTAGAATGAGAATATCTGCCTAGGTTGATAGAGCATCCTTAATTGAAGGTAGCGAATTGGTGACTTTAGTCGAGGAGCCGATTCGCTATTCTGTACCGAAGTCAATTCGGTAGTGGAGGTTTGGTTCGTTAGGGCCTCAATCTGTTTACTCCGGTGGAGGTTAGTCGCCCGCTAGAGACTCGGATTGAGAGGGTCTGAAGACCTTTAGTCGAGACTTCAGACTGTTTAAGAACCTTCCGCAGTATAACTATCATAGAAATTGAACTTGGTAATTACAATCCGGCTTAACTGCAGTCTAGGGGGAACCATATCCGGGTGACCTCTCTTAACCTGAAAACAACCGTTTAGTTGCTTTGCTTGCTTGTTAGTTTAGACTTTCACTAAAGTTTCATTGCTAGATAATACAAATTCACTGAGTAGTCATCACATCTAGGACCCGGGTTGACAAGAAAACCCAAACCCGCTATACTACGCTTTAGGAAGTGGTTTCACTTGGCCATTTTCTAGAGTGACAGTAGGAGTGAGTCAACAGTCGACGTTGGGATCAACCAGGTTCTTGGCCTTTCAGTTAGTTGGAAAATTTTCAAATTTGTTAAACCTGTTGTGTCTGATTTGTAGCCACTTACAATTATATGAAATTGTCACAAAAGTTTCGGAAGTTGTCTCGTGACTGTGGGTCTTGCTATGTTTTTGTCTGGCTAAGATTGTGTGTTCACCTAACCATGTCGATGGTTCAGAGAGATAGTTTCGTCTGAGGAGGCTCCCTCCTCTCTCCTGCTGCTCCATCGGTCTCCGAGATGACCGTTGGGACCAAGCCTCCATCTGATGAGGGTGACCACTGCCTCAAGCCGCCAGATGGCTCACCACGAGCTCGCCGGCCCAACCAACGAAGAAATCCAAGTGTGTTGAGAGTAACATCTCTCATGGCCAAGGGGAAAGGGAATTTCCTATTGTCACTGCAAGCAAAATTGCGACCCAATGGAAGCCGAACAAGCCAGGAAAGGGGGAGACCAGATCACCCAATGAATGTGAGCCTACCGAAGGCAACATATAAAGACAGAATTTTGGGCAACACTCCCCCGTCGGAATTCTCGGATGAGGAAGAGCTAATGTACGATGAATCAGAAGGGGAAGATGGGGATGACGACCCGGATTGTCCGACAATTAGGGTTAAGAATAGCACGAATTGCAGAATCACAAAAATTTGGCACATAGCGATTACCTTTAGAGTTTTGGGTACTTTCTCCCCTTTGCCTCCCTTCAACGAAGGGTGATGAAGATGTGGGTCAAAACTGGAGGAATCAAAATCGGCGACATCTACAATGGATACTACCAAGCAATATTTGACTCCCAGTTGGATCACGATCGAGCCCTGTATGGAGGGCCTTGGACGGTGGAGGACCATTACATCGTCTCGGAACCATGGAGGCTCGATTTTGATCCAGATTACGGCACAATCGACAAAACGTCGGTTTGGGTAAGACTTTCTAGATTACCTCTTGCTTACTTTGATGAAGAGATTTTGTATAACATCGGGGACAAACTGGGGAGGGTAAAAAAATTGACTACAACACTGCTAATGGATTCTGGGGGCAACTATGCTATAATCTGTGTTGAAATAGATCTTCGGAAGAAGCTTGTTTCGAAATATAGGTTGAAGAGGAGAGTGAGGAGGTTTGAATACGAAGGGCTCTACATTGTCAACTTTGAGTGTGGCCATTATGGAAGGAGGAAAAATGCCCTTTCCACCTTGAGGGTACCGTTCTATCCTCGGAGGACAGAACCAAAGATCTAACATTGTCAACTCTGAGCCCGGAGATCATACCAAAAATCACTGAGGACTTCAGGCCATGGATGTTGGCAACGAGGATTAGAAGAAGAAGGCAGTCAACAAAGAAGACATAAACAACAATAGAAAGGAAGAACAACGAAAAACTGCATCAGGATCCCGCTTTGCATCACTGGAAGAAGAAGAGAAGAACGATGAAGGGTGGAATCAGATAATGAAAAAGAACAAAACCCTCCATTTGAGGCTGAGGTTCAAGAATAGATGGAGGTGGATTAAGCTGAAATTAGAAGTACAGAAAAGAAAGACGAGAGGAAACCAGGGGGAGAAAGGGAAAAGATACCCTAGAGGAAGAAAGAAAAGAGAAGACCGAGAAAGCAAGGGATAACAAAATCAAGAAGGAAATGAAAAGGAAAGAAAACCAGAAGACCACTCCAGAGAATTACAACCAGAAAACAACATGCAAGACACAGATGGGGAAGGATCTTATGGTCCCAGCCATTCCAGCTAAAGAGACCAAGGCAGGAAAGAAAACTGAAGAGTGTCCACTTGTCCCCCAAAAGCCTAACAAGAGCCAAAGAGGAACAAGTAAACCCAGTGGTAGTGACATGAAGCAGGACAAAGTCAAAACCTCTTCAATTGGTGCAACAAAGGGACACCAGCCTAAGATGAAAGGACTGTCTCTTGGTAAAGAAGCAAAAGAGGGACAAAAAATGAATCACAATCCCCTGAAAGTGGGATTAACCAACCCAGGAAGCTGGAATTCAAAACCAGCCTAAGAACGAGGCCTCTAAGCTAGAGAATGCTACTCTACCCAAAGTAACAATTGCCATTGGGGAGTTCGAGAAGGAAGAGATGGCAATGGTCGTCGACGCAGCCTCATCCTGAACAATTGGTCATGCCAGGGAAGTCCTCTTAATGCTTGTTTGGTTAAAGTCTTCTCTTGAAATTGCAGGGGTGCCAAGCACCCTAAGTTTTTGTCTACCTTTGAATTGTACACGAATCTGTACAAACCAAATTTTGTGTGTATACGTGAACTAAGAATCGGTGATGATGCCCTGGACGTCATCAAGAAAATGGGTTTCGATTCCCATGCTATCTCTGATGCATCAGGCTTCAGTGCGGGGATCTGGGTCCTTTGGGACAGTACACAACTCACTATGGAGGTGGTGAACAAGCAAAAATGGTTTATCCATCTTCAATGCTCATGAAGCAGGAAATTCCTTTGCCCCTTCTCGGCCATCTATGCCAGTCCCAAAGATTTTGGAAGAATGGATTTGTGGGATGCTCTTAGGAGGTTTTGAAGACTCACCAAAATACCATGGATGATCACTAGGGACTTCAACTCCATCACTCACTCTTCTGAGAAGGCGGGAGGGCCCCCCCCTTTAATCATGCAAAGACCAGGGCCTTCAACGAATGCATAAAAGACTGTGGCCTCATCAATCTGGGTTTTTCCGGACCAAACTTCACTTGGTTCAAGAGTTCAAGAAGAGTTAAAGAAAGATTAGACCGAAGCCTTTGCAATCTTGAGTTGCACCAACAATTCCCCGAGTCCTCTGTCATTCATTTGACTCTGCTCAAGTCTGGCCATCGCCCTCTCCTCACT